ATTTTTGTAAGATAAAAGGGGGATGGTAAAGATATCACAAAAACGTTAGTATATTAACCCCGTTACATTTTCTTAAATGTGTGCGTGTGTCCCACGTCGGGGACGTTGTCGTTAACGGTCTTATGTCATATCGAAATGGTAATTCCCCCTATATTTATAGAATTGAGTGTTAATAGCAGATCTTTGAATGTCTCTGTTGAATTTATATATATTTTTCGTGGAATCGAGACAATTAAGAGCGAGTCATATTGACAATGTGTGGTCACCTGTCTATTTGTCGAAGACTATATGTCTGCATCAATATGTTTTTTTTTTTTGTATTTCTGTCGTTTGGCTGCTGTTCCATTGACGTATAACCCACATATGATTCTCCTTCTGTTTTACACTTAATTGACCGTGTATACTGCTGGCTGAAAAAATATATAAATCTGATAGCACTTATGTGACATTTTGTTATGAGTCTTAGGACACCTGTCTATTGTTGAAGATTACACGTCTCCCTCTAGATGTCTCTTGGTTATTTCTGTAGTTGGGTTGCTGTCTCACTGACGTATACTTCACATCTCCTTTTATTCATGCGGCACTTAATTTTTCGTGTGCACTGATTGCTGAAAAAAACAGTGGATTGATTTGATTTTTTCAGCCGAACGTCCAGTGGCAAATATTACATGCGTATTAGAGCCATTGTGTTAGGAAATCAAATCGTAAAGATATTGCATATTTGTCTAGTCTACTGAAACATTTGCATTTTTGGTATTTTTCTGAGTGGAGAAAGAAAGAATTCTACAGAAACGCAGACATGCACTTGCTTCAAATGTGTTTTCTGGAATAAAGCCACTATGCAATGTTAAGCATTTATAGCTATTTTGTCTTAATTTCAAATAAAGTGGTAGTCATTTCATAGCAAAACTATACCTTATCCTGACTTGACTGTGCTGAAAAACTCAACATATCTTTAATTACATAGAGCGCACTGGTTCCCGAAAGTTGGTTAGTATTAAAACAGGTACTTCTGATCTGAGCAACAGGGCAAATATGCCCCCTATCATAATTTCATGTATTTATTTTATTATTCATGAGAAACTTTCATCAAGGGTTCTACAGTGATCCCAAGACGTGGAGCCTTTCATGTGATACCAATTAATTATCCATTTTCTTTTTACTTTTGGACACAGTTACAGCTATGCGTAGGAATTATTTTGTTTAACATATGTACTACTTTCTTGTATGTTCTTTGTGACCGGGTCCGAATTATATACCTTCTGTGTGTCAAGCAAAAAAAAAGGCATTAACGCAGACACAATTTGGGGAAATTAGCGCAACTCTACATAAGTCTTACTTATTTTGTAGAGACGAAAAGAAATTAGGAAAAAATAGACAAAGAGCAAAATGACAAAAAAAAAAAAAAAAAAAAAAAAACTTTCCTTCTTTCGTGATTATATGTTTTTATATCAACAATAGTCAGATTCTTTTTGAAATGTTTTTGCGACTCTGAAAAGAGCCGTTTTCAATATGCAATTGTCTTTGTTCTGTAATATTCTGTCTGGGTTTAATCACTTTAACTGCTTCTTCGGTAGTGTTAACATTTGATTCTTCACTGCAGTGTAGATCGATTTCTCAGATCCTCTCCCAGTTTTTTTTTTTTTCATTAGACGATTGGCTAAATTGACGTTCTCTCTGCAATTCAAAGTTTTTTTGCTAATATACTTTACTATAATGCCGTCATAATTTAAAACCCCACTCCTTGCACGTGAAAAGTTGTGTATATTTAAACTGAGAATCCAATAAAGTAAAAACAGCAAATTTCGTACCGTTCAGTTTTGTGTTGTTGTTTTATTGGTTATACCTTGCATCTCCTTTTATTCATATGTACGTTTTATGTGTCAAAAAGTTGTTACTTATTTACTAAACATTAAAAATATTTCGCGTTTTATGGCTGGTGTTTATCCTTTTAAAAAATCTGTTTCACGGCACCCCCTTTTCTTAAAAAAAATAAAATACCAAAACAATGCAAACAGCAAAAATAATACAAAAACACAAAAAATCGTTTACCATACATAACACGTAACAAAATAAGCCTCTTCTTTCAGAGGTAAGCATACGATGTAAAGGGTTTGAAACCCTTATATAGTACACAATTAGCAAAATTTCCTCAGAGAAGGTATTGGCAAAAATCTGGAATGTTATATACGTATTATATACGTATTATATACGTTTGCAGGGTTTTTGCCCTTTTTCGTCTATTTTGAAGTTGTGATCTGCACAGATTAAAAATTGAAAAGTTCCATAAAAATTTAGACAACGACTCAATCAAACAATGAGTCTTTATCATGGCTTTTTCCTGATAACAAACACAAATTTTGCAAAACTTTGAAATACTTCCGTATTATTATACCTTTTTCAGGAAACAATTTTTACATATAAGTTTGCTTTGCAAGATTTGTAACCTACCCGCAGTCTGGTGATTATACAGTCTAGATCTGTTGGGAACTCAGCCCTCGACGGGACAGAGTGCAACCCGTACGTACGTTGAGGCGACGGGATTAAATCTTAGATACTACTAGTCCTATATCTTTCCTAGTATTTTTGTAAGATAAAAGGGGGATGGTAAAGATATCACAAAAACGTTAGTATATTAACCCCGTTACATTTTCTTAAATGTGTGCGTGTGTCCCACGTCGGGGACGTTGTCGTTAACGGTCTTATGTCATATCGAAATGGTAATTCCCCCTATATTTATAGAATTGAGTGTTAATAGCAGATCTTTGAATGTCTCTGTTGAATTTATATATATTTTTCGTGGAATCGAGACAATTAAGAGCGAGTCATATTGACAATGTGTGGTCACCTGTCTATTTGTCGAAGACTATATGTCTGCATCAATATGTTTTTTTTTTTTGTATTTCTGTCGTTTGGCTGCTGTTCCATTGACGTATAACCCACATATGATTCTCCTTCTGTTTTACACTTAATTGACCGTGTATACTGCTGGCTGAAAAAATATATAAATCTGATAGCACTTATGTGACATTTTGTTATGAGTCTTAGGACACCTGTCTATTGTTGAAGATTACACGTCTCCCTCTAGATGTCTCTTGGTTATTTCTGTAGTTGGGTTGCTGTCTCACTGACGTATACTTCACATCTCCTTTTATTCATGCGGCACTTAATTTTTCGTGTGCACTGATTGCTGAAAAAAACAGTGGATTGATTTGATTTTTTCAGCCGAACGTCCAGTGGCAAATATTACATGCGTATTAGAGCCATTGTGTTAGGAAATCAAATCGTAAAGATATTGCATATTTGTCTAGTCTACTGAAACATTTGCATTTTTGGTATTTTTCTGAGTGGAGAAAGAAAGAATTCTACAGAAACGCAGACATGCACTTGCTTCAAATGTGTTTTCTGGAATAAAGCCACTATGCAATGTTAAGCATTTATAGCTATTTTGTCTTAATTTCAAATAAAGTGGTAGTCATTTCATAGCAAAACTATACCTTATCCTGACTTGACTGTGCTGAAAAACTCAACATATCTTTAATTACATAGAGCGCACTGGTTCCCGAAAGTTGGTTAGTATTAAAACAGGTACTTCTGATCTGAGCAACAGGGCAAATATGCCCCCTATCATAATTTCATGTATTTATTTTATTATTCATGAGAAACTTTCATCAAGGGTTCTACAGTGATCCCAAGACGTGGAGCCTTTCATGTGATACCAATTAATTATCCATTTTCTTTTTACTTTTGGACACAGTTACAGCTATGCGTACGAACAAATCAAACATCGGTGACATGAAGGTGTGAAAATTTTGGGAGACTAAAAAGAGAGAAAAATTATATTTTCCAGTGTATTATGTTGAGATGTTTTCTGATTCTATATCAGAATAGACATTATGTGTGAAGCTGTTATAGTTTATTCGAATTTTGAGTGACCAAATAGTGACTTTTGCAAAGATTTTCGAAAGTGATTTTGAATTGGAGTTCACAACACACAAAATGGCTGACCAGGTAACGAATGACAAACAACAACAACAATCAAACATAGACAGTTATTTTAAAAATACACCAAAACATAGTGGTAAAAGGTTACAACCATCCAGTAGTCCCGACAACTTATCTCCATCTATGCAACAAGTTGAAAAGGTAGCAAGAACAGCCAACCTTGATTCATCTCTCAGTGGCTCTATCGTTTCTGAACATGACAGTTCTGAACAGATAATATCATCCATTGAAAATGAAACTGTATTTAAGCTATCGGATGTTGTTTGTGCTACGCTAAAAAATCAAGAGTTTTTGAACTCCATCATTCCTCTCATCACTGAAAAAGTAATTGAAATGGTCAAACCTAAAATTGCACTGATCGTTGACGAATGTATTCAGCCTCACTTACTTACCATTAAACACAATAAAGAAGCACTTATTTTGAAAGATATTGAACTTAACAATCAAAAAGAGCAAATAAATTCTTTAAACCGCAAATTAGACAAGATCGAAGCCAGAGTCGAGGAACAGGAACAGTATTCTCGAAGAACCAGTTTACGATTCCATAATGTTCCTGCACCAACTGACGACAAAGGCGATATTATCAAGCCTATAGACACAGATTCCCTTATCCTTGGTATTTGCCATAAGCATTTGAAATTGAAGTTAGACACGAGAGATATTGGCAGATCCCATCCCATAGGTGAGATTAAAGACGGGAAAATTTCCATCATTGTACGGTTCCTGTCGTATCGTCAAAGGCAGTTAGTTTTCAGCAATAAACGCAAATTGAAAGGAAACATAAACAAAACTTTCATTGCTGAAAACCTTACAAAACACAGATACAATCTTTTGCACAGACTAAACACATTGCGTGAGAAAGGTCAAATAAATTCGTTTTGGACACATGACGGGTCAATATTGATTAAACAATCTGAGAATTCTCGTCCGAAAGTGGTAATTTCAAGGCAGGACATATATAAGCTTGGTGGGGAAGTCCTTGAAGGTGATGACCATAAAGAGGATTAGACATTCCGTTTACATCATAGTCTTATGTCTTTTGACTTGCATTTGTTTAAATAACACAATTCTTAAATTGTTTTATCAATTTAATTATATACACTTGTATATATATACTTGTTTTCTATGTATTGCTGTACTGAATATTTCTTTTTTCGATACACGTGTTAAGCAGCACGTGCCTGTGTTTGTTTATTTATATTTCATTTATTTGCTATTTAAAACATGTGACATGAAATTATAACTCAACTCTTTACACCTGAGTGATTTAAAATCACTTACATACACGTGAACTTGTGTCGTTCCTGTAACTTTATCAATGATCGTTCTTCAAACGTTTTTATAGCTTACCTGTATTGATTAAATGAAAAGATAGATTACTCTATTTACCTATTTATAACATTTCACAAAAGAGCTTCCGTTTTTAAAAAAAAACTTCAAATTTTGTTTTCTGATTTATTTGATTTATTTGTTTCCCCCCTAAAATGACATCGAAACTAAATTCATCTTAACTAAATTAATCTCTCTGATTTCACTACAACTGCATCGAACATTCTTATGATGTTCCAATTTTGCCTTTTGTACATAGATTTTTGTTTTCCCTTCTTTTTTATTTGCCTGAATTTCATGAATGATCATTCGAACTATATGTGTTTATATCTTGCATCATGTTTTACAAAGCAGTCCAATTTTCTGATTGTCATTTATATGTATTGTCTTGTATTTGACAATGGGTAATGACATCGTAGCATATAGAATGACAATAGGACTGTTTTATCACAAGATAAGTCTGGGTTGTTTGAGAAAAACATTTGTATCGTTCTCAGTGTATGAATTACTTGCCGTTTTATTTACGAATGTTTCAAGACTCAAACTATGTATTTTTAATTTATACAGATCTTCTGCTAATATGATTTCATTTTACATACTGTTATTATGTTTGTTGCTAATATGTGGTGACATCGAACCGAACCCGGGTCCTGAGCGCACACCAGAAATATCTGAGAAAACATTGTCAATTTTCCATGGTAATATAAGAAGCCTTAGAAATAAACTGAATTATATTGTCGATATTATTGAAGATTACGATGTCGTATTCTTGACAGAAACCCATTTAGACTCAAATATTACAGATTCTGATTTATATATATCCGGTTTTGAAATACCAGTTCGAAAAGATAGAAATTCTCATGGGGGTGGCATTATTATGTATTATAAAAGTTATGTTCGCATAACTCGTCGACATGATTTGGAGAATTGCCAACTTGAGAGTATGTGGTATGAGTTAAAAACCAAATTGCGATCAATATTGATAAACATCAATTATAGGTCGGAACGGCAATCTTCACTTTATTTCTGGCAGTATTTTGATCAAATGTTGAAAAATGTCCTGGATGAAAATAATTGCATAATTTGCTTAGGTGATCTGAATAAAAACTTTATGTCAGATCTACCGTCAAATATAAGAGATATTTTTTTCATCAATGGCCTTGTTAACATAATTGACAAAGCTACTCATTTTGACACACGAACAGGTAGCACGTCTTTACTTGATCCTATTTTAGTCACTGATTCGATACCGGTTTTAGATAAAGACACAATACCTTTTGATAGAGGTATTAGTGATCATGATGGAACATACGTCACAATTGATTGTGGTTTTAGTAAAAGACGAACTTATAATAGATTGATATGGGATTATAAAAAAGGTGATTATGACCTTATGAAACAAAAAGTAGTTGAAACAAATTGGGAATATTTAATTTCTGATGCAAGTTACGTTCATGTTGCTGCGACTAATTTCACGAATTCATTTCTTAATATAGCCTCCGAGTGTATACCTACAAGGGAAGTAACTATAAGATGTGACGATAAAGTTTGGTATGATTCGAATTTGCGGCGTGAAACGAGAAAACGCGACAGGCTTCGTAATATTTTTATTCGCTCAAATAGTACATCCGCAGAAAAGAAATTTAAACAACAAAGGAACAAAGTAAATAACTTGAAAAAGCAAGCTAAAAAACATTTTTTTACCAGTATTAATGAAAATTTAGATGAACTAAAAGTTACAAACTGTAAACAGTACTGGAAAACTGTTAACATGTTAATTAAAAGTGATACACCGTCTCATGATTTACCACCCATGACGGACCCTGATCATAACTTTAAACTTGCGTATGAGGGAACCGAAAAGTCCGACATTTTAAATAAATATTTTTGTTCAATTTCTAATTTAGATGGCGCTAGTAAAGATTTGCCGGAATTTGAAGACCGATGTCTTGATTTTATTTCACAAATTGTAGTTAGTGAACAAGATGTACTTGATATTCTTTCAACGCTCGATGTTAATAAAGCTGTTGGACCAGATATCGTTAGCAACAGAATGTTACTTGCTGTTAGAAATGAAATTTCCAAACCATTATGTCTACTTTTTAACAAATCTTTAAATGATAAAATATTTCCAGACCAATGGAAGATTGCACATGTTATTCCCTTATTCAAAAGTGGTGACAAGTCATTACCGTCTAACTACAGGCCAGTCTCATTATTGTCATGTGTGAGTAAAGTCTTAGAAAAGATTGTTTTCAAAAATATTTTTAACCATTTACATGAAAATAAACTATTATTCAAGTATCAATCCGGATTTATTCCAGGATACTCAACTTCGCATCAGTTGATAGAATTGTATAACAAAATTTTGAGTGCACTAAATGAAAAGCTTTTAACAAGCATTACATTTGCTGATATAAGCAAAGCATTTGATACTGTTTGGATTAAGGCTTTATTACATAAACTTGATAAATATGGTATAAAAGGAGACTTGCTATGTTGGTTGAAAAGTTACTTGTCTAGACGATCTCAGAGAGTTGTCATAAAAGATTCATTATCAAACATTGGAAAACTTAACGCTGGTGTGCCCCAGGGGTCGGTATTAGGACCCTTGTTGTTTTTAATATACATTAATGATATAGCTGATGGTATGTCTGGATTCGGAAGGCTTTTTGCAGATGATACTTCAATAGGTCATACTGCACCTGATGAATCCACTTTAAAAAGTTCGATCAGTAGAGATCTTGATTATTTAAGTAAGTGGTCAGAAAAATGGCTAGTGAAGTTTAATCCTAATAAAACTGATATTATGATATTCAGTTTGAAAAATATATACAGTGATATTACTTTTGATTTTGGTGGTGCTACATTGAAACCAGTTAGTGCGCACAAACATCTAGGTGTCATATTTAGTAATGATTGTAAATGGAATAAGCATGTTGATAAACTGATTGAGAAAACTTCGAAGCAGCTTAATGTTTTACGCAAACTAAAATATCGATTAAAAAGGGAATATTTGGAAAAAATTTATATGATTTTTATTCGTCCGATACTTGAGTATTCATCAGAAGTTTGGGATAATTGTGGGAACATAAATTCTGATCGGATAGAAAATATTCAAATCGAGGCTGCTCGCATTGTTACTGGATTACCAAGTTATGCTAGCCGAAACGCTATTTACAGGGAGACGGGATGGGAAAAATTAAGCGTAAGGCGGGAGGTAAAAAAGTTGGCCATGTTTTATAAAATTATTAACAATCAGGCTCCAGATTATCTACATGACTTGGTTCCAGAATTTGTATCTGATATTAGTAATTACAATTTACGAAACAGACACAATATCACTATTCCAGTGAATCGTTTGTCGGTTTATCAACATTCTTATTTCCCAGCATCCATAACATTGTGGAACACTTTAGATATTATTATTAGACAGATTCCTACATTTTCATTATTTAAAAGCAAATTGCATATGTTATACTATAAGAATAAAAAATCTCCGAGACATTTTTACTCTGGAGATCGCTTACTATCTGTATTACATGCAAGGTTGCGAAACCATTGTAGCACTCTTCAATCAGATTTGTTTAATGCAAACTTAGTACAAGATGCCAATTGTTTATGTGGCTTCATCAATGAAGATGCTAAACATTATTTATTATATTGTAACAATTTTTCATCACAAAGGCTTTTAATGATAAATGAAATCAATGTTTTTGCTGTCAATATTACAATTGAGTTATTGCTCTCTGGTGATGAGTCTTTGAGTTCTGAAGAAAATTATAGTGTTTTTCTATCTGTACAAAAGTATATAAAAAGTACCAAGCGTTTTTCTCAACTTTGACAACCTTATTCTGTAACAGATCTTACTAGAACATGATCAATGTATGCTCTTAGGGGTACGGTAATCGAATGATCTTTATGATTGACTTTTGTATTCTGAAACGTTTCCATGGATTTAAGTAAAAAACAAAATTGATACTTACAATTATGTGTAGATTTATTCCGTTTTCCTGTTAATCCGTAACTTTAAACTATGAGTGTGTAATTTACATTTAAACAAATTTACTCACATGACTTGTCATGTACACTAACATATTTTATTTTACACAGCTCGGTGTGTTTGTATTTATTTCTACTGAAAATAGGCGCATTCGATTGGTTATATTAAGTGGTAAATATCCATTGATTCGATTCTTAAAATTTGTATGTAACTTATTTTTATATCTTCATGCTAAAATAATAATTGGTTAAAGTCAGATTTATGTAATGTTCATTCATGTGTATATTTATGTATATATTGGAGAAGACGTTACTAAGTTGAAAAACTTGTGTCTAATCCATTTGTCATTTTTGAACAATAAAATATGTTTAAACTAAACTAGCTATGCGTAGGAATTATTTTGTTTAACATATGTACTACTTTCTTGTATGTTCTTTGTGACCGGGTCCGAATTATATACCTTCTGTGTGTCAAGCAAAAAAAAAGGCATTAACGCAGACACAATTTGGGGAAATTAGCGCAACTCTACATAAGTCTTACTTATTTTGTAGAGACGAAAAGAAATTAGGAAAAAATAGACAAAGAGCAAAATGACAAAAAAAAAAAAAAAAAAAAAAAAACTTTCCTTCTTTCGTGATTATATGTTTTTATATCAACAATAGTCAGATTCTTTTTGAAATGTTTTTGCGACTCTGAAAAGAGCCGTTTTCAATATGCAATTGTCTTTGTTCTGTAATATTCTGTCTGGGTTTAATCACTTTAACTGCTTCTTCGGTAGTGTTAACATTTGATTCTTCACTGCAGTGTAGATCGATTTCTCAGATCCTCTCCCAGTTTTTTTTTTTTTCATTAGACGATTGGCTAAATTGACGTTCTCTCTGCAATTCAAAGTTTTTTTGCTAATATACTTTACTATAATGCCGTCATAATTTAAAACCCCACTCCTTGCACGTGAAAAGTTGTGTATATTTAAACTGAGAATCCAATAAAGTAAAAACAGCAAATTTCGTACCGTTCAGTTTTGTGTTGTTGTTTTATTGGTTATACCTTGCATCTCCTTTTATTCATATGTACGTTTTATGTGTCAAAAAGTTGTTACTTATTTACTAAACATTAAAAATATTTCGCGTTTTATGGCTGGTGTTTATCCTTTTAAAAAATCTGTTTCACGGCACCCCCTTTTCTTAAAAAAAATAAAATACCAAAACAATGCAAACAGCAAAAATAATACAAAAACACAAAAAATCGTTTACCATACATAACACGTAACAAAATAAGCCTCTTCTTTCAGAGGTAAGCATACGATGTAAAGGGTTTGAAACCCTTATATAGTACACAATTAGCAAAATTTCCTCAGAGAAGGTATTGGCAAAAATCTGGAATGTTATATACGTATTATATACGTATTATATACGTTTGCAGGGTTTTTGCCCTTTTTCGTCTATTTTGAAGTTGTGATCTGCACAGATTAAAAATTGAAAAGTTCCATAAAAATTTAGACAACGACTCAATCAAACAATGAGTCTTTATCATGGCTTTTTCCTGATAACAAACACAAATTTTGCAAAACTTTGAAATACTTCCGTATTATTATACCTTTTTCAGGAAACAATTTTTACATATAAGTTTGCTTTGCAAGATTTGTAACCTACCCGCAGTCTGGTGATTACAGTCTAGATCTGTTGGGAACTCAGCCCTCGACGGGACAGAGTGCAACCCGTACGTACGTTGAGGCGACGGGATTAAATCTTAGATACTACTAGTCCTATATCTTTCCTAGTATTTTTGTAAGATAAAAGGGGGATGGTAAAGATATCACAAAAACGTTAGTATATTAACCCCGTTACATTTTCTTAAATGTGTGCGTGTGTCCCACGTCGGGGACGTTGTCGTTAACGGTCTTATGTCATATCGAAATGGTAATTCCCCCTATATTTATAGAATTGAGTGTTAATAGCAGATCTTTGAATGTCTCTGTTGAATTTATATATATTTTTCGTGGAATCGAGACAATTAAGAGCGAGTCATATTGACAATGTGTGGTCACCTGTCTATTTGTCGAAGACTATATGTCTGCATCAATATGTTTTTTTTTTTTGTATTTCTGTCGTTTGGCTGCTGTTCCATTGACGTATAACCCACATATGATTCTCCTTCTGTTTTACACTTAATTGACCGTGTATACTGCTGGCTGAAAAAATATATAAATCTGATAGCACTTATGTGACATTTTGTTATGAGTCTTAGGACACCTGTCTATTGTTGAAGATTACACGTCTCCCTCTAGATGTCTCTTGGTTATTTCTGTAGTTGGGTTGCTGTCTCACTGACGTATACTTCACATCTCCTTTTATTCATGCGGCACTTAATTTTTCGTGTGCACTGATTGCTGAAAAAAACAGTGGATTGATTTGATTTTTTCAGCCGAACGTCCAGTGGCAAATATTACATGCGTATTAGAGCCATTGTGTTAGGAAATCAAATCGTAAAGATATTGCATATTTGTCTAGTCTACTGAAACATTTGCATTTTTGGTATTTTTCTGAGTGGAGAAAGAAAGAATTCTACAGAAACGCAGACATGCACTTGCTTCAAATGTGTTTTCTGGAATAAAGCCACTATGCAATGTTAAGCATTTATAGCTATTTTGTCTTAATTTCAAATAAAGTGGTAGTCATTTCATAGCAAAACTATACCTTATCCTGACTTGACTGTGCTGAAAAACTCAACATATCTTTAATTACATAGAGCGCACTGGTTCCCGAAAGTTGGTTAGTATTAAAACAGGTACTTCTGATCTGAGCAACAGGGCAAATATGCCCCCTATCATAATTTCATGTATTTATTTTATTATTCATGAGAAACTTTCATCAAGGGTTCTACAGTGATCCCAAGACGTGGAGCCTTTCATGTGATACCAATTAATTATCCATTTTCTTTTTACTTTTGGACACAGTTACAGCTATGCGTACGAACAAATCAAACATCGGTGACATGAAGGTGTGAAAATTTTGGGAGACTAAAAAGAGAGAAAAATTATATTTTCCAGTGTATTATGTTGAGATGTTTTCTGATTCTATATCAGAATAGACATTATGTGTGAAGCTGTTATAGTTTATTCGAATTTTGAGTGACCAAATAGTGACTTTTGCAAAGATTTTCGAAAGTGATTTTGAATTGGAGTTCACAACACACAAAATGGCTGACCAGGTAACGAATGACAAACAACAACAACAATCAAACATAGACAGTTATTTTAAAAATACACCAAAACATAGTGGTAAAAGGTTACAACCATCCAGTAGTCCCGACAACTTATCTCCATCTATGCAACAAGTTGAAAAGGTAGCAAGAACAGCCAACCTTGATTCATCTCTCAGTGGCTCTATCGTTTCTGAACATGACAGTTCTGAACAGATAATATCATCCATTGAAAATGAAACTGTATTTAAGCTATCGGATGTTGTTTGTGCTACGCTAAAAAATCAAGAGTTTTTGAACTCCATCATTCCTCTCATCACTGAAAAAGTAATTGAAATGGTCAAACCTAAAATTGCACTGATCGTTGACGAATGTATTCAGCCTCACTTACTTACCATTAAACACAATAAAGAAGCACTTATTTTGAAAGATATTGAACTTAACAATCAAAAAGAGCAAATAAATTCTTTAAACCGCAAATTAGACAAGATCGAAGCCAGAGTCGAGGAACAGGAACAGTATTCTCGAAGAACCAGTTTACGATTCCATAATGTTCCTGCACCAACTGACGACAAAGGCGATATTATCAAGCCTATAGACACAGATTCCCTTATCCTTGGTGTTTGCCATAAGCATTTGAAATTGAAGTTAGACACGAGAGATATTGGCAGATCCCATCCCATAGGTGAGATTAAAGACGGGAAAATTTCCATCATTGTACGGTTCCTGTCGTATCGTCAAAGGCAGTTAGTTTTCAGCAATAAACGCAAATTGAAAGGAAACATAAACAAAACTTTCATTGCTGAAAACCTTACAAAACACAGATACAATCTTTTGCACAGACTAAACACATTGCGTGAGAAAGGTCAAATAAATTCGTTTTGGACACATGACGGGTCAATATTGATTAAACAATCTGAGAATTCTCGTCCGAAAGTGGTAATTTCAAGGCAGGACATATATAAGCTTGGTGGGGAAGTCCTTGAAGGTGATGACCATAAAGAGGATTAGACATTCCGTTTACATCATAGTCTTATGTCTTTTGACTTGCATTTGTTTAAATAACACAATTCTTAAATTGTTTTATCAATTTAATTATATACACTTGTATATATATACTTGTTTTCTATGTATTGCTGTACTGAATATTTCTTTTTTCGATACACGTGTTAAGCAGCACGTGCCTGTGTTTGTTTATTTATATTTCATTTATTTGCTATTTAAAACATGTGACATGAAATTATAACTCAACTCTTTACACCTGAGTGATTTAAAATCACTTACATACACGTGAACTTGTGTCGTTCCTGTAACTTTATCAATGATCGTTCTTCAAACGTTTTTATAGCTTACCTGTATTGATTAAATGAAAAGATAGATTACTCTATTTACCTATTTATAACATTTCACAAAAGAGCTTCCGTTTTTAAAAAAAAACTTCAAATTTTGTTTTCTGATTTATTTGATTTATTTGTTTCCCCCCTAAAATGACATCGAAACTAAATTCATCTTAACTAAATTAATCTCTCTGATTTCACTACAACTGCATCGAACATTCTTATGATGTTCCAATTTTGCCTTTTGTACATAGATTTTTGTTTTCCCTTCTTTTTTATTTGCCTGAATTTCATGAATGATCATTCGAACTATATGTGTTTATATCTTGCATCATGTTTTACAAAGCAGTCCAATTTTCTGATTGTCATTTATATGTATTGTCTTGTATTTGACAATGGGTAATGACATCGTAGCATATAGAATGACAATAGGACTGTTTTATCACAAGATAAGTCTGGGTTGTTTGAGAAAAACATTTGTATCGTTCTCAGTGTATGAATTACTTGCCGTTTTATTTACGAATGTTTCAAGACTCAAACTATGTATTTTTAATTTATACAGATCTTCTGCTAATATGATTTCATTTTACATACTGTTATTATGTTTGTTGCTAATATGTGGTGACATCGAACCGAACCCGGGTCCTGAGCGCACACCAGAAATATCTGAGAAAACATTGTCAATTTTCCATGGTAATATAAGAAGCCTTAGAAATAAACTGAATTATATTGTCGATATTATTGAAGATTACGATGTCGTATTCTTGACAGAAACCCATTTAGACTCAAATATTACAGATTCTGATTTATATATATCCGGTTTTGAAATACCAGTTCGAA